TGGGAGAGGAACAAGTGATAGGCATGTTTAATAGATGAGACAAAATCTAGTGAAATTTCAGGGCAGCCACCAATCAGACACATGAATAAGTAATTTGCTACCTGGCAGCTTTTGCATCCTCACACTCTGGAGGACAATGAGGCATTCCTAAATGTAAGGGAAAGGTTTCCTTAAGTCACTGCTGAACACCTTCGGAGGAGCCATTTCAAGAGAGGCAGGGAACTAAATTAATGTCAAGCCCCTAAAATATTCATGAAATAATTATAAATGCATGTGGGCCATCGTAGACACCACCTTTTACTTCCTATAATTTCAGTTCTTTACTCCATCAAGTGGTCTTTTTAAATTACTGGATGCTTCTCTTCTTTCTTACAATTCAGAGAACTAAGGTTTTCAGTCAATGTTAATTTTCTTTGAAGGATTTCAGAGGGTAGTATTTCCATATACAAACCGTAAAATTATTATTTTCAAGTAGGACTGGTTCTTTTTCTCTGTAGCTTAGAAGAAAGGAGATCTATGTAATCGCAGTGTCAAAATGTCAAAAGACTGAGATAGGTTGGAAAAAAGAAGAAAAGGAAAGAAAAAACACACACACACACAAACCCTTAAAGGCATCCATGCAGTCCTCAGCCTTACAAATCCTTGGCTCACATAAAATACTTGTGACATGCTGTAATTAACTAGTTACTCCTCTCAGAATGGATAATAATGCAATTATTTGCCAAAAGCAGTGAAGAAGGGATAGTTTCTGTTTTTAAAAATGTCTGCCTTTCATTTCTGTAAAAAGAAAAACCCTGGATTAATTTACATAAGCTGCTAAAGCACAGAGTGACCTGCAATTTCACCATTACACTATATGATAATTCTGTCACCTTTTTATCGGAGCCTTGTATTTTTCAATGGTTTGAAACAGTAATAATCTGACAAGTCACTACCATGTTTAAATTATACTGGTTCTTAAAAACTGCGCCCAAATACCACAAAATATTAGTGAGCGGCATGGTGAAACATGTCCCTTTCACAACCATACTCTGATGTCATTGAGGTCGCTAAGGGCTAGTGCTCTGTCTCCTTTGTCTGTGGGACACAAATTAAAGGAGGCAGGTGGCCTTCTTCAAGTGCTAAGTAGCACAGAGTTAAGTGAGAGTTTATATGAATATATCACTGGTTCTTTCTCCTATGTGTTAATGTCCAGACAATAACTAATCTCTAAGTTCGTCCAAGTCTATCCTGCCTTTCTTTCAGTAATTCATTCAGTAACCATTTATTGATGACTTGCTATGATGCCCTCTACTAGGTTCCAGAAATTCAAAGGTAAAAAAGACATATAGCCTTTAAGAAGGTTTCAGAAAGTGAAGGTATGAACTAATAAATAGGCACATTAAGAATGCAGTAAATGCCACCACAGAGCCCATTCTTCACACACACATACACAAATTCATGTACTCTATCAACATATAAAATCTCTCTGCCCCATGAATCTGAACTTTCAAAAATTCCAGGCTCTTTAAAAGTTTTGAAGGAGTGACTTGGTGCTAAGATTTGGTGCTAAAACTTAGAGGGCGCCTGGATGGCTCAGTTGGTTAAGCGACTGCCTTCGGCTCAGGTCATGATCCTGGAGTCCTGGGATCGAGTCCCGTAACGGGCTCCCTGCTCAGCGGGGAGTCTGCTTCTCCCTCTGACCCTCTTCCCTCATTTTCTCTCTATCTCGCATTCTCTCTCTCTCAAATATATAAATAAAATCTTTAAAAAAAAAAAAAAAAAAACACTTAGAGTCAGTGGAGAGTATGTGTGTGTGTGTGTGTGTGTGTGTGTGTGTGTGTGTGTAAAACCTGTATTTCTATAAAAAAGTAGAAACAACATTATGTAGAATTTTGTTAAGGATAAAATAGTCTAAACAATTGATGTCTTAAGTAGTCAGATTAACTTAATTCATATCAATTTGTTATTCGTTCTAATTACCAGGTATTAGTTCAGAATGCCTTCAAATGAATATTCACTGATATATCCCTATGATACTAAAACGTCTGGATCACTCGTTTGGGAAGACAGAGACTAAGAGGCATTATGACTTAGATTCATAACATCACGATAAATACTCTAAGAGTAGACATAGTCTTATTTTTTCAAGTCTAATCATCCAAGGTATTCCTTTAATTAGTTAATAATAGGAATTTGGGTTTGCCTTGTTTTTCACTGTACTGAACAGTATGTAGAACAGTGTAGGTTCTGGCATCAAACTGCCTATATTGGAAATTAGGTTCTTCCCCATAAAAGCTATGTGACTTCTCTAGCTTCAATTTTCTCATCTTTAAGAGAGAGATAGTAATAGTAGCTACCTCATAAAGATAGAAGGATGAAAAGAGTAATGGCATATAAAGCATATAGCACTATCATTAAGTAAGCTACTATTATTATTGTCATTATTTGATCTCACTGAGAACATTTAATATCTGCCAAGAAAATTAGTTAGCTACTCTCTGTCTGTTTTTATGACAATATAGTAATGATGATTTATATTAATTTCATCTTTTTTTAAGAATATAAGATCATGTCACTATATTTATTCATTTCATTTATTTATCTACTACATGCAGTTACTGAATGATGAGTGTGTGGAAAGTATTGGGTGGTGCGAGGAATACAAAGATAATTTAGCTACTACCAATAGAGTGTCAGACTATGGTGCTGGAATCCTGCATGGTTTTTGAACTAATTAAGTTTAATAAACTCAGATACTAAAAATAATTTGAAGATACCTGCAGAGCCCTTGTACCCTATATAATTTACTTTTTAGATAGATGAGAAAATAATGACTTTCTCTCTGTTCTGCTGTTAGTAACATAATTATGCTGGTGTCTTTCAAGGAGATAGTCCCCAGAGTCTAACACAACAATAGTAAACTGGCTTGAAGGCAATTAGAAGCAACTTTTAAAAAACACACCATGTCCGTCTTCTCACCTCTTTATTTACTACAAATTGTTAAGGAAAACAAGGCTGATCTACAAAGTCACTTCCCCAAATGCATGGTGGAAAGGACCAAAAGATCTTGAACATGTAGGCAGCTCTCAATCTCAGATCTTTCAGATGCCAAGAATCAGGCCAGGTAACAATGTTGTGATCTCAGTAGCTACATCGCGACCGAGGTAGGAATACCACTCCTCAATGACTTATGCATTTGGAGATGGTAACCATCTGTCCTAGCTATTTGTTCCTAAGTATGTGAAAGTAAAAATAACCAAGTGTTCCTAAAGCAATTCTCTGACCAAAAAAAAAAAAAGTGCATTGGCACAATTTCTGCCAGCACTTTTAACAGAGATCTAGGTAATTCTGATACAGACGGTCTAAGGACTACACTCCGAGAAGCACTGTTGTGTAGACAAACCCTCTCTCACTTAATCAACAAATGGATCAAGCAGTGATTCCAAGGAAGTGAATCTGGTGCCAGTCTGACTGCCTAAGAAGGTAGAATCCTAAGCTCTACCCCCAGAGTTATTAGGGCCAGAAACCTGCTTGTGAATCAGTATATTTAAAAGTTTTCCAGGAAATTCTAATACACAGCCTGTGGTGAAAGGGAAGGGGTTATATGTTACTTTAACACACCCGTAGGTGGCCCTTGTTCCGCAATTTACTAGCTCTCTGACCTTATAATTGCGCTATCATTGGTCTATAAAATGGCTGTTGTAAAGATTAAATAAAGCAATGCATGTTAAGAACCCAGCATGTAGTACCCTAGTTGTTATTGTAATCATTATATTATATGCCCAGCTCTAAGTAAGATCTACAGAAGTAAAATTTGTGCTTCACCACTTTGGGAAGCATATAATCTATTTAGAAAAATAATGTAAATATTAATAGAAAATTAATTAATATAAATTTAAAATATGAGTTTATCTTCTAAGGCAATAACATATTTACACACATATAAAAAGATTCTGAGTGAAAACAGTCTACTTTGTCTACAGAGAATGATAAGAACATAGGAAAAGTCATATAAAGTTTGTTTGAAAATGTCTCATTCTTCTAATTCAGGCAACCTAATTCTCATTAATTCAAATTTGTATGTATATTATAGAAAAGTATTAAAATCATGAGTGGTAATCAACTTGTATTTATTACTTAAAACTAGAATTAGAAAAATAGTGTATATCTGGGAAAGGGATCCATGGGACAGGCATCAAGCGGCCCACAAATACTCTGAAATTTTATGCACAAAAGTTGTTTTGTGTGAGTATGAGAATTTCTGAAGAGAGAGCCATACCTTTCCTTTGATTCTCAAAGGGTTTTGTGCCGCCCCCCCACAAAAGTTAAGGACCACCAAAGACTCCTGCTTGGCACATGTCTTGTGCATCTTCATGTAGCTGAAGAAATATAACTCCTGATTGCACTCCAAATAATCTCCTGGCTTACTTTCTTGCAAATGTTCTCTGAATCATTTTCCTCACGCTCTCACCATTCAAATATCCTGAGAATAAAGTAACACAGTAAGATCTCATTTGAGGAAATGGTAAAGCAGACTTTCATGACTACCTCAGCCTATTCAAATTCTGCCAGCATCAGCATGGAAGTTTATGTACATGTTTCAAAAGTTCCAATGGCAGAGGTTTACTGATGATTATTTTCTGCGTTTCCCCTTTTTATTTTTTTTATCCATTTATCCATCTTTTGAATTATTTTTCAATTAGTTCTGTGCTTCTTTTCATCTCTGGTAGGCAAACGAAGGAACTTCCCTGGAAGGATACAATTCAGTTTTGTCGACTTGTGTGTTGCCAACCTAGCAATTCTTCCACTTTGTGTTTAATGTATAATGTGATAGCAACACTATTAATGTTTTTTTTTTTGATTGAGGTAAATTGGTATATGACATTATATAAGTTTCAGGCACATGACATTACAAATTGATATTTGTATGCACTTCAAAGTGATCACCATCATAACTCTCGTTATTACCCATCACCAATTAAACCCCTTCACCCATTTTTATTTCTCTCTTCCTTTAGGTGTGTGTGCAATATCGACTGTTCTCAAACCAACTTCAATCCCCTCTGTGCTTCTGATGGGAAATCTTATGATAATGCATGTCAGATCAAAGAAGCATCATGTCAGAAACAGGAGAAAATTGAGGTCATGTCGTTGGGTCGATGTCAAGGTAATGTTCATACCAAAATTCATTTCAAAGAATGTTTTTAGTCTTAGTGTAGAAATGAAAAGTGAAGGTAACTCCTTATTAGGCAAGCTATTTCCTTTCCGGAAGACAGTTCTGATTTATCATGGATACTAAAGTCTACTGTAGCATTTATGGTGATTATAGGAGTTTGAGAGCCTATCAGCAATAGTCTATATCTTTTTCTATATAATGGGACTGTATCTGCACAATGCCGTAAACACAGAAGCCAATATTCAGCAGACATTCTCTTTGCACCGGGAAAAAAAAAAAAAAAAAGTCAAAATCATCTTTAGCAAAGAATCTGAGGATTTATTAGAAAACCTTGAAATTAAAAACAAATGACACCATTTTTATGTATTGAATCAATAGAAATATTTCAAGTACATTTTTTAAAGCAGGATGTACGAGAATGTTTTGTTTCTTATTCAGAAACAAACATTTTCTTGGGTTTTGACTTGTTATTCCTTTACCCACCTTATCTCAGTTATAATCGTGAACCTTCTCTTTGCCCCAAACTCTAGAAAGCTGATATCATTTTATTATTTGCTCTCAAGCAAATTGGTGTAAATATGTCTTTGCATAAAGGTAGCTTAGAACTATAGTTATAAAATTTCCTTAATCACAGTGAAGGTACTATCAGAAGGATAATATAAATTTGACATTCGATGTTTAGGAAGCAATTAATCAATCTTCGTTGTTAATTTTTTTCACACAGATAACACAACTACAACTACTAAATCTGAAGATGGGCATTATGCAAGAACGGATTATGCAGGTACATTATAATATTTTCTACAATAGAATATGAGCACTTCTATAAAAGGGTCCTGGGGGAATCATTTTCTTCTTACCATTGATCCTAAGGTGAATCTTGCAAGACTTCTGACATGTGCTAATCTTCTCTTGCTTGGTTCAAACTTTCAATAGACAATAGTGAATTTTTTTGAAGCAAATAAAATGCCTTTTATTTTTTTTGCCAGAGTTAAAGCAATTGTCAGAAATGTCAGTAAGATATAACTAACTTGTTTTGACAGTGCAAATGGTACAAATGACAAAACATTTATCAAATTAATGGGCATCAGTGGAAATTAATGTAGTTTTTGGTAGTATATTGTAATGAATGCAAACATTCTTGTTTGAATTTTCATTAAAGTCAACAATAAAAAATTTTGCTAGTCTCTAAAATAACTGGAAAAGACAGCTATAAATAATACAGGCTATCTCTCTTTAAATGCAAAGTTAAAAAGGTATCTGTAACTTACTTTTAAAATAATAACTTATTATTTTAAATAAATTATTATTTTAAAAGTACAATGTAGCTTCTGACATGCAGAATTATCAAGCATTTATATAAAAATGTAAATTTTATGTAGCTATTATAGAATATTATTTTGAGAATTATTTCTACCTAATATAATTTTTCTAGGGTGAGAAATAATTTATGGGTATGCAAATAGGATTTTAACAAATTATTAAATTTTATAAAAACTTAGGATTAAAAATACAAAGTAAAATTATTGATGTTGATAATGATATTTGGAGTTTTGTGTTTTAAAGACCTTTTCACTCAACTATTAAACAGTTCTAACTAGATTTATGGCCAATAGTCAATCAAGAAATGCTCTTATCTTTCAAAATATGTATTATCATTCATTTTTTTCTGAAATTGTATTTTAACAGTATTTCTGACATCATATTTATAGACAAAATTAATCTCAATGAAATTGAAAAAAGTTAATCAGATGTTATACTATGGACACCTCACACCTCTCAGAATTTAGAAATAACAAAAAATTTTTTTAAATTTTTCATTTTTATCTTAATAGTTTTCAACATGTAAATAAAACTATTCATGTGCTAGAAGCCTGGAAGTATCATGGACAATGATACATGGAAAAACATTAGTTCTACTATTGTATAGCTGTTCCCAAATGTCCAGGAGAGCTATTAGCAGGTATTCCTTGAAAAGAACAGTCCATGATCAATAAGTTTGGGAGAAGTCCAGATAAACAAAGGACTTTCTTACCCAGAATACCTCATAGCTTGTGTGCACTGTAAAATCTTTAAGAGATATGCATCTTTTATTTATTTTTTTAATTTTTGTTCTAATAGATACAAAATACATGCAAATGTAGGCTGGGTAGTATAATGAACCCCATGTATTCATCACTCAAATGCAGTAACATCAACCCATGGCTAACCTAGCCCCATCTCCAACTGCATCCTGATCAGCATTTTCAAAGTATGTGGAAAGAAATCCCAGAAATTGCATCATTTTATTCATAAATACGTTAGCCTGCAACTCTAAAAGATCAACTCTTTTTAAATAAAATTACGTTATTATCACACCTAAAATAATTTTGAATGATTCCTTATAGTATATAGTTTTTATCAAACTTATTTGATACACAACACATGCTTTTGCGGCACTTTTGCAGTACTGGTATTCCCAAGAATGCACTTTGGAATATGCTGATCCACAGGAAAGTATTAAAGTGATAAAAGATAATGAAAAACCAAGGTCTGAAACTAATAATATACATTTTAAATGTTAAATGAAATCAAATTTAAATTCTATATTTTGTTATGAACAATAGCTATATCTTGAAGGTATTATAAGCTGCTACCTGGCATATTTATTTAATTTTACTGTAGCCTAAAGTGTTTGAAGATTTCATAAGGATTTCACTTTCATATAAAGAGTAACTAACTGTGCTTAAAATACCTTTATACTTGTTTTGCAAACTAATTCACTTGGAAAAAAATCTTCAAAAATGTAACATTATATGAATAACTTCTCTATTGAAATATTCCTCATTGAACTCATAGGAAAATCAAGCTTCTCCCTGAAACAAAAAGCTTTTCAAGTTGATTAGCATCAATATGCAAATATATGTGAGTTTATAAAACTGTACATTACATATCATATTGGAGTTTACCACTCTGTCATTGTCATTCATATTACCTATTTACAGATTGCCCACTTTCAAAGAGTTTGGGAGTTAAATTTTTGTTCCAAAGAATTCATATTTGAATTTGATTTCAAAGAGATAATTTCTGACCTTCAAAGTCAATGCTTTTAGTTGGCATTATTTCCTATCTTACCCCTTTATTGAACATGAGAAGGAAAGAGAATGTGTTTTTAAATCCGTGCAAATGAAAACTGTTCAGACCCTCAGTGTTGTCCAAGGTCTGCTAGTTTGACATCAGATTTATTTAGTAAATTCCATAGAAAAACTTTTAAGATAAAAGTAAAGTTTAAAAATACGTGTTTGTTGAAATCCAAATTTAAGACAGGAACAAAGATAATGTCAATTGAAGCCTGCAATTTCTAATTAAGCGTTGATTACATACTTTAAAACTCCCATGGAAGTTAATTTAGATGTCTTTATCTTCATCGGTAATCTTATTAAAATACAATGTATACCCCTCACTAGACAATATATAAATAATAGCCACATCCCTCAACATTTCCAGGCTTTCAATAGTATTTGCATTTTCATAAATTTTGGGATACAAACTTTGGAAAAATAAAAGGAACCAAATGGAGACTCAGTATGTCACTGTCCTCTTAAATTTTTGTTTCACATTTTCAAAACTCCCCAAGAAGGGAAAACAGGAACTGTGTGACTCACATTCCTAGAAGTTTGCTATCTGCTCACAAGTTCACTTAATGTCACAGTCACTTCCCTTGTTAGACAAACATCAATGGACGCTCCCACTGGAGGGAAGTCCCGATCTTAACACACTCATTTTTTTCTTAGATGTTGTTAATACTAGAGGTTAAAAACCTTTAGCAACACCCCTATTTTTCCTGTTTGAGCCTACCTTACTGATGTTAGTATAAAAACCACACATTACTGATTACAAAAATGAAAAATAATATAAAGAGAACCGAAATCTAAAAATAAATATGCTGTGTCTCATATTTAATATCATTTATAAAGTAGAGACTGCAGTAAGGACGAGCAAGGGCCAATTCACAAGAAAACAAATACGAAGAGAGCCATGCCCCCAACAAGGCTAAGAGGAGGTCAACTACAGGGTGACCGAACTTGTGCAGAGCTATGAATTCCAAGGTAGACCTGAAACGGACTCTAGGAAGCCAAAGAATTTGCCAGATCATCCCAGCCAGCCTTACTTTCTGGTTGTGCTTGACTTGGGTCTCTATTCTGCCCTCTCTCCTTTAATGAGACCCAAGGCAGTAGTGAGTCCTGAGTCAAGAGCTTTGGATCTCTGTTTCAAGGCAGAGTGACAGGATCTCTGTCTGATAAGCTAAACAGGCCACTTAATGTCATTCTCCCTTCATCAGTCTAAGACTTGGGCTTACATTTAGGTCTTTCTCTTTACTTGCAGAAAGGCTCAGAGAACAACATTTTATAAAACCACAGAACTGAAGCTTTCAGGGATTTCCATTGTTTCAAAATGCTAATATTAAACTTTCCTTCTGGAAGTTTTCATAAATAGCGTATTTTATAAATAGCAAATGTTTTATACCTCTTGAAATCTGCAACATTTTCTTTTTTAAAAAATTTCCCCTCATGTCTTGGAATGAAAAAATGAAGTTCAACCATTTTGTTTTTCTTCATCTGGTATATGTATTTTCTGATTGTATTGCTTTTCTGTCTAAAAGTCTGATCATGTTTCAGAAAAAGTAGCTGCATATTTTTCCAGTGAAAATGTACTTAATTTTATAAATTGTTAGATGTAAAAAATATACACATACACATAAACACACACATGAAAAACAAAACAAACCATGAATTTAAACGATTTTGTCTTTTATCATCTAGAAAATAAAATGAGTTTTCTTTTAGGACATTTTGCACCAGTTTCTGAAAGGATTTGTAGTGGCTTATAATTAAAATATATTCAATGAGATCGTTTAAAGAGAAAGTGAAGCATAAGGCAGAACTGTAGAGGAAAATAAATATATCAGCAACATGGACTATTATAGCTACTGCATTTAGCCCTAAGCTTCCTTGTAACCAGTGTAAAAAGAGAAAATATGATTGAATCAATTCATTCGGCAAATATTTAGAGTCCCTGCTGTATGCACTCCACTGGGCTTTACAAAGGTGAACTCCTCATTCTAGGGCTCTGCCAAAATGGAACTTAGGTTTCCATTGCCTGATAAAAAAAAGAATAAATAATTAGTTCAGAAACCAAACACATAATTTCTCTAATGTTCAGTTCTCAAAAGAAATATTTGGCACAGATCTTCTTATAGCTGGAAGACATAGAATGGATAATATCTTCAATAGTGATTTTTATAAAATATGCCAAGGCTTTCCACAAGGCTGGGGATTTTTTATAACAATTTTTATAAGATTCTAGAGCATCGCATTAGAATATGTGTGAATCCATGATAGTCTTTCTGTGGCAGATTAAATAATGAGTTATATTTATGTATATTTCCAAGTTGGAAAAAAATAACACAGAGTCCTAAGGGAAATGGCTATGAGGGGGAGTGTGTTCAGCTTATCTTCCTCATGTATCTACAGGTTTAACAGGAGCTGGATTAGAAGAACAGTCAGAAAGCCTGAATAAAGATAAAGAATATGTTAAATTATAGTATCTATATGGGGAAAAGAAATTACCCCTGCTTTTATTAGCAGTTAATGAGAAAAGTTAGCCCTGAGTCATCTCCACAGCCTTGGGAGGGAACTAGGGTCTCCCCAGCTCTGAGTCTAGGTATTGGCATGCATGGAGTCTATGTGTCTTCTTATCGTGCATTACACTGTGGCCATTCACCATTGCTTGTAACATTGAGGG